GTTTGGTAGGTGTCCAGTGGCACAGTCCTGAGAAGGTTCAGCTGCAGGCCAAGTTTAGCCCAAGCCTGTGCCCCTCTGGGCCCACCTGTTAAGATTCAGCAAGCAATCCACAGATGCTGTGCTTATAGTTACCTCAAAAGGCTATGCCAGAAACTGAGGCCAGCTGCCACCAGTGTGAGTCTAGGTGCTGCTCAGCAAAGGGCACTTGACTAAGCAAGTACACACCTATATGTGGCTTGGGCGGGGCTGCGAGTTGGGGGAGGTGGAGTTTCAGGGAATCCTCTGGGCGGAGCAACTTCCATTATCCAGTTTGATAACATCTCCACTATGGTGGTGCTGAGTCCGCTCACTGGGATGGGGGAGGACTCAACAGAGGAACAATGTATACCACCCGCACTTATCTACAGAGTGAGTCTTGCCTTGGCCCTTACTCCAACAACTCCGTGCCCCCTGTAAGTCCCTAGTGCCCCCTGTGCAGCCAAACCGGTGCTGGTGCTCAGAGTGAGCAGGTCTGTCACCACAGAAGTTCACTCGCGGATGCGGTCCCTTTAAGAGGCGTCTGCAGCTGCTGCTGCCACTGCCGCTGCCATGGCCTCTGTCCCACTTAGCCACTCGGTCTGGGCAACCTCGTGTCCTTGCCCCATCGTACCTTCTGCCGTTGCAGGGTGATTTTTTAGATCTCTCCATAGTTGTATGGCTTGTTCATCTAGATTCCAGGTGATTTTCCTTGCTCTTTACCCCTTGTTTCTGTCACAACTTTGATTTGGTTACCAGAGGGATGAACAGAGCCTCTATCATCTACGCCATTTTTTTTCTTCCTCTCTGAATATTCTTATTTATAGCCTTCTGTTTTTGTTTTATGCACCGAATAACTTCTCATCTCTTAACTCTAAAACTATTAATGATGGGGTTTTCTTTTCCTTGCTCTTTTTCTGTGTTGTCTCATTTTTTTCTTTCTTTCTTTTTTCTTGTTTGGTTTCTTTATTCTCTGCTGTTAGCAACATCCTTCAAATTCCTGGTGCTTGTTGGCTGGCTCTCCATATTAAGAGTGTAGCATCTTGGGCTATTAATCTGACTGCCAGACTTCTAGGAACTTACTGAGTGGAAGAAGCAGGTGGGTGGGAGGGTTGTCTGCCTTTGACTATTTAAATTTTCCTCTGTACTTCTGTTTCAGTGTACATTTCTTTTTTCAAACTCTTTCTCTCTCTCTGTTTCCCACACACATACACACATCTCCCCTTTCCCACTCCCTCCCCCTCTTCTCTCATTCCTTCCCTCCCTCCTCTCCCCCTGCTCATTCAGCTCTTGAGATAATGAACATCCAATCTATTTCCAGAGCAGAGGAGGCAGTTCCTCACTGAACAGGTGGTGTGGAGTGGGGTCTAGGAAGACCAGCTGCCTCTTGTAAAGATTTTACACTGTTTCAGCCCTACCTTCCACCCTCCCCCCAAACCCCGCTTTCAGAGGTATTCAACATCTTTAACTCTTAAGCAGTTCTTCAGTGCGGGTTTGCTCGCTTCTGGGAACTCCCCATTTCCAGCTAAGGTTTCAGCTTTCTTGGGTCTGCTCTCATCCATCTTCACTATCATTTCCAAAATGATGTTGCTTTCTCTGTTATCTTGGTCCTAGTGGGTTTATGTTCTAAAAAATTCTTTTATTGTCATTTAAGAAGAGTATCAGAAAAGATGGAGGTAAATACATGTGTTTCATCTGCCATATTTAATCAAAAGTCTTCCCATTTTTAATACCAGTGTTTATAATTTTATAATTAAAATTTTTTAATGTAACTAAAATTATGTTTTGATTTATGTGCACATCTGGATCCTTTTGGCCAGTGGTTCTAAATGGTAGTTCTCCAGGCTAGTGGCATTAGCATCAACTGGGAACTTGTTAAAAGAAGACATTCTTGGGCCCGACCCCAGACTTACTGAGTCAGAAATGCTGGGGGTAGAGCCCAGAAATCTATGTTTGAACAGGCCTTCCAGGTGGTTCAGATGCTTGCTAGAGTTTGAGAACCACTTTTGTAGGTGACGAAGGGATTCTAAACATTTGAGAAACACTACCCTCCCCTCCACCTCGGCTCCAGATCCATCTCTTCCAATCCAAACCCGTGAAGTGCCCAGCAGAATGGAAGGGCTGTTTTGAGATAATGTCCTTTAACAAGATCCATCCTCCTGAGAAGATGTTTGTGGATTTAGATGCTTTTCTCTTCTATGACACCTAGTTGTTTACTGCCTTACATGGCTGTTAGAGTGGGGTTTCTGAGGTCAGAAATGCCTGCAGACCAGGCTTGGTGAGAAGAAAAGACAGAGACGGTGGAAGCAGAGAAGTTTGAGAGGAGCAGTGTAGCGGGACCTGATCCCTCTTCTGCATCTTCAGCCATCAACATGTTGGAAGAGGAGCCCCCCGCTTTCCTCAGAGCAGGGAGCCTCTGGGAACCTCATGTAACGGGAGGGTCCTTGCTCTGAACTTCACCTACCATTGCCCTCTGCCTACCATCAGGGCAGCAGATGCTGCCAATCATCTCGGACATACACATCCCTCCCCACCCCGCCCATCTGTGTGGCTCCTCTGAGACCCTCAGTCTGCCTCTTGTCTCCTCACTTCACCTTCCTCCTCTTCTCCACCCTCGCAATGATCTTCATATGGCAGCTCTCCCTCTGAGCTCTCTCCATGGCACAGTTAATTCTCTTTCCACTTTCTCTCCCAGGTATGTCTTCACTGTCATTTATACCTTCGAGGCCTTGATAAAGATACTGGCAAGAGGCTTTTGTCTAAATGAGTTTACTTACCTGCGAGATCCTTGGAACTGGCTGGATTTTAGTGTCATTACTCTGGCGTGAGTATTTCTCCACACTGACTTGTTTGTGCATCTGTGTGAGGCTTGTGGGTGTGCCCAGGCTCACACCCTGGGGTGTTTCCTTATCCATCCAGCTTTCTCATTTGAAACTGCATGGCCTTGGGTCTTGTTGCCATAGACCATCACTGTGGGAGTCACTCTCGAGGGTTAGTCTCACACCCTCAGGGAGAAGTCAGAGACCTCACATCTGAGCTGATGACTGGCCTGTCAAAGTGAATCAGACAAGGCTCAGCCTTGTACCTACCTGGCATGAAGCTCTTTTCCTGAGGAACCAGAGTCTGAGGAGACTGGTTGGCCAAGCTTGCATGCTTGAATATCCATGTTTACATGTAGCACATGGAGCCACCTAGACCACAATTCATCTTCTCAAAGGGGCCATTCTGAAAGATATTGCAACAATTAAATCAATGTTAGTGTCGGTCTATTGGTGAAAGTGCTTCTAGATTCTCCATCTATTCTGGGTCCTTCCTAGGCTCATGTTACCTCAGATTGTCTTTACTTATGCTGCATGCATTGCAGGACCCTCTCCTTGTAGAGATGCTGACTGACTTCTGGTCCCACAGATATGTTGGTGAAGCAATAGATCTTCGAGGGATCTCGGGCCTGCGGACATTCAGAGTTCTTAGAGCCTTAAAAACAGTTTCTGTGATCCCAGGTGAGCTGCTTTAACCAGATCATTTATTCATGGAACATGTGTTGGTGTCCATAACCTAATGTCCACCTTTGATTTTCACAAGAGCCCTATAGAGTTCCAGAGCATGAACTATTGTCCCCATTTAAAAGACAAAAAAACGGAGGCTCGGAAAGTAGAAAACACAATCCCAAGTCCTCATCACTAGTAAGAGGCACAGTGTGACCTGGAAACCTAATGTCTCAAGTCCTACACCACTGCTCTGTCCATAGTACCTCATGGCCTTGCCCTTGATAAATGACAAGAAAGTCAGGTCCTCATTTTATATTCTTGTTGTGGGGGTCAGGCAAGCCTCCAGTCAGATTCTCATTTATGACTTAAACCAAAGTTGTAAACTTGGAAATAGGGAGGAAGGGAGAAGGCAGTCTGGTGAGTGTTTTCACCATTTCCATAAATCTGAAAGCTTGAGTTTCAGTCCTGTCTCTGGACACACAGAGGAGAAGAGAATTAAGCAATTCTTGATTACAGAGAATTTAGATAATTCTCTGTAAAAGTAGGCCACTAGAGCTCATCTTACTGGTCCTTCTAAGACCTCTGTTGTCACCAGTAGCCCAGTGATACTTCTCATCCCCTATTGACTTGGTGGAGGGGAAGGTGAGGCTAGAGACCAGGTAACCACACTGAGGCAGGACTCAACTCTGCCCCCTTGTGGCCTGATGGTTTATCTCCCCTTGAAGAGGAGAAGAGAGTGAGGTGGTACCCCTGAGAATCCATTTCTTCATCTAGAAAATAAACACTCAAACTGGAGTGGAAGTCCCTTTCTACCACTCTGTGTCTGGCTGTTCAAGGAAGGATTGGAAAGTCTTTGTCAATTTCCACAGGACAAGCTTCTTCATGAAGACAGCCATGGCAATAAGTAGCCAGTTCTGACTCTTGGTATCTCTCTCACCTACTTTTAGCCAGGAAGACCCTGAGTCTTGTTTTCAAGACCTGACCTGCCCAGACTTCCTCTCCTGCCTCAGCTGTCTCCTCTGCCCACCTCACATCATGTTCCAGAATGTACCTGTGGTTCCACAAACACTCCATGCCTTTGCCCCTCTCCCGGCCTTGCCGCTCTTTCTGTCAAAAGAGTCCTCCTCTCTTAACTCATCATCATTCCTCAAGGCTCTGCTGAGGCTTGACCTCGAGGAGACTCCATGGTCTTTCCCAACTTCCCCACATTCCGCTCCACCCCGTTCCTATCCCCAGGCTTTGGTTACAGGCTGCTTCTATGTGTAACAATGCTATGCTTGGTAATACTATGGAGTTCCCCCTCGACGGTCAGACTACTCCACCACATGCCAGTGCCCCAACCATTGCTCAGCTCCCAGCCCATGACGCCACAAGTAGTGTTCATGGGTTATTTGTTGACCAAGATGACAAGGCAAGGCTCAACCCCAGACTGCTTCTCTAGTCAGACCTCTTTCTAATACCCATGAATCTGCCCTCCAAAGAAGGCAATTTTATTTGCCAGAGCAGCAAATCATCCCCTAGATAAGCAGGGGCCCCATTTTTGCTGCCAGCCCTGCTTGGCTCTGACATAGCTCCTTCTCAGATTCTCTCTGTATCTGACTCATTGATTCTCTCAGTGTCTCTCATGGTCTCACTCTATTGCTATGTTCATCTCTCTGTGTCTTTGTGTCTGTCTCTTTTTTTTCTGTCTCATTTTATCTCCTTTGTATCTCTCTCTCTCTCTCTCTCACACACACACACACGCACACACGCACACATGCATGCACGCACGCATGCACACACTCTGAGGTTCATGGATTCATGTGTCCTCAGCCTCAAGCTGCCTCCCAGAAGTGAGATGAATGCAGAAAGACAGATGCCAAATGACTGGAATGAAGTTAGTAGCCTCATGATTAGCACAGTGCCTGGAACTAGCAGGTACTCAACAATTATTTTTTTAAATCAAATTGCTATTGTCAGAAATGTATTAGGCTTAGCATGATAAGAAATGCATTGCCTGGGTCTCAGTAGCCTTGTCTTTACAATGGGGCAATAATCTTTACCTTCCAGCCTGCTTTTTAGGGTTATTACTAGGTTTATATAAGGAACTAGGCTTGGAATTGCCCTAGAGTTTTTAAAATACCTCACACCTGTATGTAATGAGAAGGCAAGATGGCTAAGATGAAAGCATGCCAGGCACACAACGTGTGCTGTGTGTGTTAACTGACCCATGTAGGAGTATCACTGTCATCTTCTCATAGGGCTGAAGGTCATCGTGGGGGCCCTGATCCACTCAGTGAGGAAGCTGGCTGATGTGACCATCCTCACCGTCTTCTGCTTGAGCGTCTTCGCCCTTGTGGGCCTGCAACTCTTCAAGGGCAATCTCAAGAACAAATGTGTCAAGAATTGTACAGCTTTCAACGAGACAGCCAGTAACTTTTCTTATGAAAAACGCGAGTGGAATTTCTGCCATGGCGACGAAGGTCTGGCTGGCAAGGAATGTGACTCCCCTGCATACCTGTATAGACATGTATTTTGATTCCTTTTCCCTGCTCAAATGCTTCTCCTGAGTCGTGTTTTACTTTTGAGTCCACCATATTCTGTTGCCCAATGTCTCTTTTACAAGGAAATGAGCCATAAATCCAGGGACAGGCCTTTCTGCCTCTTCTGGGAGAGTCTTGGAGCTGAAGTCACTGCTCAGCTTTTCTCGTCCCACATGGGACTTTTCCCCCTTCTAAGTATCCCAGCATGCCCAATGAGTGTATATGGCCAAGAGAACTCATCTTACTGTTACAGTGTGCCGCCTTCACCACCCAAGGCTCGAGTGGTAGGGTTCAGAACCATATGCAAAGCTTTCATTTTTTCCTTTCTTTTGCAGACTTCTACATCAATAAACCAGGCACTTCTGATCCCTTACTGTGTGGCAATGGATCTGATGCAGGGTGAGCATCCAACCCATGACCTAGCACCATTGCTCAGCAGTCCTTTTTCCTTCTTGTCATCAGAATTTCCTGGGCAGAGAGTCCAGAGGAAGATGCAAAAATGAATAAGTCATAGCTTCTGCCATACCATGTCTATGGGAAGGAAATGTATGAGTTAGCTTTTGCTGTGTAACAAAAAACCCCAAGATTTTGTTGCTTAGAACACCAGCCATTTATTTAGCTCAAGATTCTGCACATCAGCATGTTGGGCATTTTGTAGACAGTGGATAGATTACCCGGGGGCCAACTGATCTAGGATGGCCTCAGCTAGGGTGGCTTATCTCTGCTCTATGTTGTCTCTCATCCCCCAACAGGCTAGCCTGTACTCATTCTCATGGCAGAAGCAGGGTTCCAAGAGAAAGAGTGGAAATGTGCAAGGTCTCTTGAGGCCTAGGCTTAGAACTGGCACGATGTTACTTCTACTGCTTTCTATTGACCAAAGGAAGTCACGGATCAATCCAGATCCGAGGACTTGACTCTACTTCTTGATGGGAGAAGCTGCAACATCATATTGCAAAGGAATGTGGATGCAGGGAGGGAAATAAATGTGGCCATTTTTGTAATTTTTTTTTTTTGTATCAAATGCCCACGTTTAATCATCACAACTCCATCACATGGGTTTCATTATCCTCACATTACAGAAGAAGAAGTATATGCATTAGTTTTTGCAATTTCAAATTCTTACGGAGTCCAGACACATAACAACAAACAAGAGGAGTGGGCTGGGTGGGAACCATGGCAATGAGAGTTTATGCCTCATCTAAAGGGGGCAGCCAGTGCTCAGTTCAGCTTTTGGTTGCCATGTAAAAATGTGGTTCCATTGCTTCCAGCTCTTCCAATTTTTAAAAGAGAGACAGGAAATTTAGATTTTTATGTGAAATCTCCCAGCTAAAACATTGGCTACCAATTCCAAAAAATGTCTATATATTATGGGCCAAACAAAATATTTCTGTAAGCCAAATTCAGTCTGCAAGCTGCCAGTTTGTGAGCTCTGATGCATATACATATGAAGATGCTACATTCTGGAGAACCAGTGCTGTGCTGGAGGTTCCAGGGGCTGGGGAAACCCAGGGAGGTGGTGGTATGAGGCAGGGCAGGTCAGGGAAATTTTCCTGGGTGAGTAGTTGAGATGGCAGGGTGTCTCCAAGCTGGGTGGACAAGAAGTGGTTTGGATAGAGGCCATTCCGGGTGGCAGAACAGAATGTGAGACAGCAAAGGGGTAGAGGACCCTTCAGGTCTGTCTGCTGCTTTGACCACTGGAACAGATGTAAGCAGAAAGAATTCAGGCAATCGATCAGAAAAGCTTTCTTCTCCCACCTCCATGGCTGGGGGCCTGGAAGATCAGAGCCCACATGACCCCGCTCCCTGAGTAGCTGACAGCTCCTGTATTGCCCAAGTGAAGAAGAGTGGGACCTGTATGGAGCTCTGCCTTAATCAGCTCACTAGGAAAACAATCTCAGATAGAGCTAAAAGGTGAGGACAAACAGGAGCACATGATCAAAATAGGCTCCTTGGCCTCTTTCTTCACAAATGCGCTTGGCATTTGGTTCTTTGGCTCAGGGACAGGATTGTTCTGATGTCAGCTTTTATTTGCCTTTGACTTAAATTTAAACTGAGGGCCCTATCAATGTCCTTTTCCCACTTGGATAATGGCATTTCATTTTTCATGGTGACAGCTCCAGAGTAGCCCAAGCACTGTCTGTGGTAAAGTTGTGAGGTCCATCCATGGGCACCTCCTCCGCAAGCTCCAAGATAGGCCAGACCTGCTGGGCAGGTCCTGGCCAGGTTGTAAAGAAGTGGATAAGGCTGGAATGGCAAATAGAGGCCAGCTCAGGACAACAGGCAGAGTGAGCCCTGGAGGCCATGCTGTGAACACCAGACCTGAGTCCTGTGCTAGGTCACAGAGAAGCGGAGCCCTGGGCTAAGGTCCACACTGCCCAGTGGCACTGTGGGAGGAAAGCCTGGGGTCTCAAGGACTAGGAAATACTTGGTGATTTTCAGCATTCCTTTACATGTAGTATT